AGTCATTCCCTGTGCCTGGAACAGCTCAGGAGAGACACGATTCCCTGTTATCCACTGAGCTTGGTGGAAATGAAACCCCTCCTGCTGTGAGGTGCCTCTGACAGGGATCCAAATGGGCACAGCAGCTCCTTCACCGTTTACATGATTGAGCTGTAACGTTCCCCCATGTCTGTAGAGGATTCCTTCCTCCACCTCAGGGACACTCAGGCAGCCTCTAAGGATGTGTATATGCTGAATCCACCAGACCTTTAGCATTGAGGGTTTACAAAGGAGGATGTTGTTGGGATCCTTTGCAAGATGGAAATGTTGAAGCACCTCTTCCACTCTCTGGACCAGCTCTCTGGGATGTGGAACTTTTGTCCTGCAGTGCTCTCTGATATGCTGCTTGGTGGAATTAGCAGGCTCAATACCACAGAATTTGTATGCATTTTTCAATTTCTCCAGGTCACTCTGATCCACTACAGAGAAGGCAGCAGAGAGGAAATGGCAGAAGGAGCTATACAGAGGATGGTGCTCTGATACACCCTCCCTGGTGAACCGCCGCATACAGTGAAATAAGTCCAGGTTTACAATGATGTCCTCATTGTACTTCAGGCAAGAGGCACATAAATTTTTGAGGTTCTCTGCGGTAACCTCTGCCACGATAGCTTCAGTGGTCCTCCATGCGTCCCACTGCAAGTGCTCATAAGGTGCTGGGTCCATGACTCTGAAAGCAGCACAGCAGTCCCTGAGTACATGAAAGGGAAATAAAAAATTTCAGTTAAATATATTCATTACCTTCGCTTACACTACTTGATGTGATGTGTGATGTGATGTGATGATTCATACCTGTCCACCCACTGGTACTTGGCCTTGGGGATACCAGCAGCACTATAGCGATTGGCCAGCCCACAGTACATTGACTCTAAGGACTGCTCACTCTCAGACTGCAGCATCACCCAGGACAGGATCATCCAGTTCTCATTCATCACAGCGTAGGATGACATTGTGCCAGATGAGAGCGTCACTTTTCTAGCAACTTTGGATGTTGGATGTGTGTGATCAGACCTGAACACCTGTCCAAAAGTGCCTTCTAGGACCTGAATGAGAGCTGCCTCCTGCCGCTGATATTCTTGAAGAAGGCACTCCACCAGATAGTGTGCAGTCACAGACACCCCATGCCACCCATCAGTGTCCTCATAACCCCCAAACGGTGCTGGTGTGTCATCCTTCCTCAGTGCCCCAGTGATGGTTCTCTGTCCATACAGCCCTGCCTCAGCATCCCTGATGTTCTGCATGCTGAGCAGGTAGGCCAGGTGGGCTCTTTCATACTTCAGGTGAAGCACCTCAGACAGCTGGTTGGCCATATCATTTGGTGATTTACCAGAGCGCCACAGTTCATCCATCACTGTTTTACAGATGGCCTTCTTATGGGTGAGGAAGGCCGGCAAGATGTTACAGAACCGCTTTGGCAGCATGTCTAGCCACTGGGGTTTATCGGCGAACCAGTATTTTTTGCATGCTTTACAGCACAGTCGAGAGGAAAGGATGTAATATTGCCCACTGGTACCAAGAATCACTCTGGGTCTTCCCACAACAGAGGAAACAACCTGAAGGTTTGGACAGCTGTAGAGACAAGGCAGGATGTAATTGTTTCTGAGCCTTTCCATTATACTGTGCTCCGGTTTCCAGATGAAGAAGGGATGGAGCTGAAAGTATTTTGGTGATGGCAGGCCTGTGTTGGTTTCTACAAGCTCAGGCTGAGGAGGATAACGCCACAAGGAAACCATGTTCATAGGATGTCTCACCGGTCGTGATCCTGGCCAGAGCCCCAGTGCCCAGGGCTTCCCCGTTTACAGAGTGACGTCAAGTCAGCATGGCTGCACGCGGTGTCAGAGCTCAACAAAGTGGCACTGACCTTGGAATGCGTTAGACTGTATAAGCAAGTATTTGCTTTAGTTCCATCAACATATAGACTTATTTGCTTATTAAATCTAAAACTCTGACTAGTCTGAGTTGGCTGTCTGAGGAAAACTTACAGCGCTCATCACAGTTTGCACTCTAGCTTCTGGCTAACAATAGACGAACAAGGAGGCACGCCTGTTTTTTAAATTTTTTCCCCCGCCTCACGGGTCGAACGTGCCCAGGTGGAAAATGACATCATTCCAAATTGCTAACAACCACCTACAATGCAAGTGGAAAGCAGAAAGAGTTCTCACAGAGAAGCCACTCTGCAGACTGGATGCCCAAGCAGGTGATTTTCCATATAGTTGATTCTTCCCTGCTCTGTTGTTCCACTGCCTGTCCACGCAGCACTTGAACGTCCAGGCTAAAGGTCTTGCGTTGGCCAGGAATCGAACGCGGGTCAATTGCTTGGAAGGCAGCTATGCTCACCACTATACCACCAACACCATGCAGAGCCTGTAGGTTCTGCTGAGCAAATGTTCAAGCATGTTCTTTTCGCTTCCCCAGAACCCAGGCAACAGCTAGCCACCAGGCATGCTGTGGTTTCTGTCGTGTAGTGGTTATCATGTTCGCCTAACACGCGAAAGATCCCCGGTTCGAGACCGGGCAGAAACAAGCTGAGTCTTTTGAGCTTTGCTGCAATAAGCGACCAGCTATCATCTCTGTAGCATCAGGTCCGGTAGGAACAGCCCAAAAGTGAGGCCCCGAACGTGACTGGAACATTTTCGGTACCTATCTAAACATTGTTGAAGTACACCCCTTCATGGCAACAGTATTCCCTAATGGCAGTGGCGTCTTTCAGCAGGATAATGCGCCCTGCCACACTGCAAAAATTGTTCATGAATGGATTGAGGAACCTGACAAAGAGTTCAAGGTGTTGACTTGGCCTCCAAATTCCCCAGATCTCAATCCGATCGAGCAGCTGTGGGATGTGCTGGACAAACAAGTCCGATCCATGGAGGCCCCACCGCACAACTTACAGGACTTAAAGGATCTGATACCACAGCACACCTTCAGAGGTCTTGTTGAGTCCATGCCTCAAGGGGTCAGAGCTGTTTTGGTGGCAAAGCCTGGTAAGGCAGCTCTTAACTAATATGACACCCTCAGATGAACCAAACACACAGAAAATGCCAGATACTTTGACCATTTTCATCTGAAGGCTGATAACAGTTCACCCGTGTCTTTTAAAAATCCCTAATCCATTGCACTGCACCTTTAAGGCTTAAAGCATTCATTTTCTGTTTCATTTACTTTATTTAATCTTTATTTTAAATTTTTTTTGTGAAAAATGCATTTTAATTATTTGTCATTTTTGTAAAGCATGTGTATGCCATTGGTTCTCAAAATGGGGTCCATGATATATAGTATACATTTAAATATTGAGCTTAATATTTGTATAGATTTTGCAGGGGATCAAAACATCATGTAATATCCTCTAATCAAGGTGGGCAGACTTTACCTAAGCATATACTGTGAGAGAGAGAGAGAGAGAGAGAGAGAGAGAGGAAATTGCACCCACTGCTGCACAAAGTCTGAAATATAACCATATTTTATTTTATAGCATGGCCCTTTTGCATTACCTTATTACCATAACTAGTGATATTAACCATAAATTTGATCCTACATATCGGTCAAAATGTACAGTAAGGACCAAAAAATTCATTCAGAGTACATCATTAAGAGCTGCTTTTTTTTTAAGCAATTCTTCACATTTCCC